CGACAGTTTCTGCTATAAACTGTCGATTTTTAGCGAAATACTTATATTCTCATATCAGAGATGTGTTCTTTCTTAACTACTGTCTCTTCGTAGATTGAAATAGTTCCTGTGAATGATAATATTGAATTGGTCAACGATTCGCTTCCTAGGAAGAGTGTGTTCATCGATGCAAACGACAAAGTAAAGCCAATTTCAAATGCACAAAATGCAAGAAACGTTTAGAATAACACCACTAATCCAATAAAAACTTATCGATGGACTCTGATGGTGGGTAATTTCAACAATGACGACTGGCTTGATGTAACTATCATGTCAAGAAATGTTAATGATGTCTCTGTATTTTAAGGCGATAAAAATAGAATGTTTCTGACACATATAAGATATTCTACTGGTTCGGGATCTATTCCACAAGCTATTGCTGTTGACGATTTCAATGATGACAAGCATCTAGATGTAGCTGTTACACATAGCGAAAGCAACTCTGTAGGTGTATTTCTGGAATATGACAATGGAAATTTTTCAAATCAAGCGATGTTCTCAATCGGTGCCGATTCTCACCCGTGACCAATTTTTGTAGGTGATCTCAACAATGATATATGAGTGGATACTGTTGTGATTAATTGCAATGGTAACAATATAGAAGTTTTTCTTGGACTTGGAGCGTTTGGCAATGTAACGACATATCCAATCGGTTTGTTTTCTGAACCAATATCTATCGTTATTCTAGATTTTAATAGGGACAATAAATTGGACATTGCTGTTGCTAACAATCGTGCCTATAGCATTAGCATATTTCAAGGATATGATGATGAAACATTTTCGAACCAAATGAAATATTTAACTAGTTATAATTCTCATCCGGTTTGGGTCCCCATCGGTGATTTCAATGTAGGCGACTAGATAGATATTGCCGTAGTCATTTCCGATACAAAAAATTTGAAAATTCTTTTGACAGTGTGTTGATTTCTCTATAAATTGAGCTTGTCTTTGTTCTTTGATCTTAATAAATACTGAGTGCTCAATCGAAAACAGATCGACCTAGATGTCTATGATACAAATCAATCTGCTGCTCTCATCTCTTGCTTTTCAACAATCGATTGCTTTTTGACGTTTTTGTAATTAGATTGAATGTGTTTAATACAAGAATAGTGAAGAAATACAGAGTTCATTTCAGCGACTCGTTTCTTGTTATTTATTGAAATATAAAGAGTGTGTGGATGTGAGTGTGAGTGAAGAGAAGACTAATATACATTCATATTTGCAACGAATTTTGAATTATTTTCTTTTCATTTTAGTGTAGGTATGCTGTATTCATTGGATTTGAATCAACAAAATGAATTGTAAGTTTCTTTGAAAGTTTTGAAATAGATTAAGAAAAGTACTGATTCGTTAAACAAACAAGTATCCGATAATTACTGAATGCTTTATCCTTTAAAATGAACTATTTACTGGAAATATCCCACTTTATTTAAAAGAAAAGTCACCTTCTCCAAGAAAGAACTGCAAGAATACAATCTTACATTTCAAATCATTTTGGAAGCACCTAGAAATTCTACACCTATTAGATTTTAGAGGAAATGTTGAATGATTAAGTTCATAATATCATCTATTCGTACTTGGAATTATTCTTACAACATACATACAATAATCAACACATGTCATATTTACCTATCTGTGTTGTGACTTTCTCAGCTACCAGTATCAACTCAAAACCTTTACAAGAGAAATGCTATTTCAAAAATATCTTTTGAACATATTTTCAATATGATTATTCATCAGTATTGAAAAATCATATTTAACATGGAATTAGATTTGTACAATACGATGAAATTATCGTTCATTTACTTATTAACATAAAGTTTCTCAACGAATTGTATATACATATTAATATTGACAATAGCATCAAATCATATATATATATTGTTTTTTGTCAAAATAATCAAATTTAGAACATCTACAAATCCTGCAAATTTTATTTAAATCGACAGTAGTCATTCCTAAAACCTACAGATTCCCATCTTACACAGGCTTAAAGAGAATATAGGTAGAAATAGTATTTAAGAAAGTTGATCCAATATTTTAGCTATTTAAAAAATGCTGATAAAAATAACCAAGGAAGCAAGATAACACTGTATTTTTGTGCAATCGGTGACCAGTGAGAACGTAATTGAGACTGGTTTTTTTAAAACTAAAGTCAAATTTAGTGTATAGTCCGATGCGTCCTTTCATGAAGAAATCAGATATGATCTTGAATTTAATTTTCGATCTTATTTTAGTGATACAAGCTAGCAAAAACAGTTTGTCAATTTTGAACCTATCTCCGTTAAGTCAAAAGTTTTTTATCAAAATGCTTAGAATTAAAGTTCTACAAATGCTGTAAGTTTTATCGAAATCGATGATCATTTTTGTACACCATCGTTGAGATCATATGGAATTATTCCAAATAGATGTTTATCAAGAAAAACCATTTATTTTCTTTGATGAAATTTAGACATTGAAACATCAATAAAGATTAGCTTAAATAATATGGGAAAAACAATGAATACCCAGTCAAATGTGAAAGTTTAAAAAACGCGTGTATTTGCAAGAAATTTGCTAAAACATGCGTTTACTTGCAAAATTTTTTTATTTATCCTATTTCACGCGCGATCTTGTAAGGCATTTGAAATATTTTCAATTTCTTGCGTATAAATGCATGTCTCCAACATACGCATGAAAATACAAATTTTACGGTTTTCCAGGAAAACATGTGAGATCATGGATGACTTTAATATTTGCAGATACTTGCATGCACTGATCTTGCATGTTCATACAAGATATATAATTCGCGTGAAAATGCCTATGTATCAGCTGCGTCTGCCCGAAATATGATGAGGTCTCCTCGAAATCGTGCATGCAAATGCAAAAGAATCCTATTTACGAAAATGAATAGCGAAGCGATTCTGCATTGACATGCAAAATTTGACTATTTTGTAGTATACATGCTGCTCCATGCAAGAACTTAGTTTTTTCATCAGCATGTGTTTATTTATTTCTTGAAAAAATGGAATCGCTCTTCTATAGCCACACTATATTAACTCAAAAAAACTTGTTCAATATTGTGAAATTCTTCATACAGTAGTCACAAAAAGTAGCTCTACCAGATGAAAACTATCTAAATCTTAACCGTTTGGGCTAATATTTTTACCATAAATAGAACTCAGTGAACCCTGATCGCAGGTACCAGCCCGACCTCAATCAGTTGATGTGTAACGGAATTAGCAGCGCAATCGTATCATACTTTTGTAAAGACCGTATCTCAACCATTTTTCGATGTTCAATTTCGCGCGACCCCTTATTCAAAAACTCAACATCAGCACTATCTGTTGTGAAAGTTTGGTAAAAAATCACTTTGAATTAATGGAGATATGCTCTTCGTATTGAAAATGCCTGCCAAGCGGTTAGTGTTAGTTTTCAGTCTAATGTCAAATAACTCAACTTAACCTTAACCGATTCAGTTGAAAATTTTAGCCATGAGTTATCATGAGCCTAGCAATTCGTGATAAAAGTTACAGAACCGTAGCTCAAAGTAGTATCGAGATAGAGTCATCAAAATACTTCATCACGGCACAGCTTGCCAATCAATGATATCTCGATATTATGGGGTGAGCTTTTGACTCAGTACACTAGATATAGGGAACTGCATTTAGCACTAAAAAAAACTTAAATAAGTTGTAATACCGTAAAACTATAAACAAAAGCATTCTGACATCACATTTTTTGCTTATGGTCTTTATAAGGACGATGATACGATTGAGCTACTAATTCCATTATACATCAACTGATTGAGGTCGGGCTGGTACCTGCGATCAGGGTTCACTGAGTTCTATTTATGGTAAAAATATTAGCCCAAACGGTTAAGGTCTAGATAATTTTCATCTGGTAGCGCTACTTTTTGTGACTACTGTAGTTATTAGCATTCATGTACATGCGTGCCCGAAGGTTATTGAATGATCATTATATCCTTCCGTTTTCATTGTATATCTAATGTAAGTAAATGGCCGAATGGTGAAGAAGTTCGTCTTATAAAACAAAGTATGTATGTTCGAATCTTATCTCAGGAAAAAAAACCTTCTGTGTGTTCATGCATGTCCGTGGCATGTACTTCATTTTTTGGCCATTCTAATATTGTCTTGCATGCACACGCAAGGAATTTCTACTAAAGTACTCGTATGTCCTCGCATGTGAAAATATTCAGCATGTACATGTGGAAATTTTCATGCGTACATTCGCGAATATAGTTGTAGCTTGCGACGCGTTCCCACGCGTGCTATGTCATAATGATTCATGCATACACACCCTAGTGTAACATCTTGTAACCAAGATCTTGGCCAAGATACAAAGTACAGAAATGTTAACAGATCTTGAAAATTTAGCTACAGATATTAATATCATTATCTTGTATCAAGATCCATAATCAGATCTTAGGTGCAGATCTATAAGATCTTAACTGAAATATCCGTGCTCAAAAATGATCACTAAAAGTCGTTTATGGACGACTCTAAATACTACCGAGATAGTCAATCCGAAGTAAACTGTGACGCTGAATATGAATCTGAAATCGGATCGCTGCTGCAAACACAAGGAGTCAAGTTAGAGACCAATGGTCAGTTCGAAAACCGTTCACAATCGTCGTCCTCCAAAACACCCTCGAGTGAAGATCATGTTTTCTTAAATAATTCGGGACAATCTAGCTCCAAGCAGTAGCAAAATCATCCGTAGCAGGTACTATTAAGTCAAGATCTTGATGCAAGATGATAACGTTATTATCTTGTACCTAAATTATCAAGATCTGTTAACATTTTCTGTTCCTTGCATCTTGGTCAAGATCTTGTCACAAGATATTAAGATCTTGGTACAAGATCCAAGATCTTGCTTCCAACATGTTTCACTAGGGCACGTGCCTATAATATTGCGTTTACATGGGTTTTTTAAACTTTCGCGTTTGACTGAGTATAGATTCATGTATGTCGAAATAGATTAGCATGAGAAAAAGGACTAGGAGATTTAATTGTAATATCTGTTGGTGATTGTTGTTTTGTAACATGTGTTAAAACATTTTTCAATTCACCACAAGCAGCCTGGAAAAAAAAAGAAAAATAATCAAATAGAATTAAGATATAAATAAATTTTATTTACCCAAATAAGTCCTAAGTAAGGAGCAGATGGTTTTAATGGACGTGATATATATTCTGGATGATATTGTACACCAACAAAATAGGGGTGATCTTAACAAAAAAAAACAACAGAAAACTATTATTTAATTTAAAATAATTTTTAATTTACTTTCAAGTTCTAAAATCTCCATACGTTCATTATCATCACTTCTACCAACAAATTTCATTCCAGCTTTTTCAAATACTTCAATATATTTTGGATTAACTTCATAACGATGACGATGACGTTCATCAATAGAATCCATATCTCCATAAAGTTTTCCTATAAAAATAGAAAATAATTGTTCTATGACGAATCAATGAAAAACACACACAGTAGTACTAACCAGGGAAATCTACTAACTGATGAATTGCTTTTGAGTCGAAACTATGTATATTATATAGACTTAAATGAACTATGATAACGATAGATTTGATGTTCTTATTCTCAGGATAGAAGTAAATTGAAAGATCTGAGACTTTCACAATAAACTATTCTCGTTGAGACTTGCCTCTATGCAAGGTGTCAAGGCGAAAATCGAAAATTAATGTTCCTGAGGGCAACTACGGCATTCGTTTAAAAACTACCATCAATAAGCTAAAGGTTCGAACTCTTTTCAGGATGTTTAAAACTCCATTGAGTCTGCATGATGCACATAGTATCGACCTGAAAATGTTTTGTCAGTTGGAAGACTTCCCTATTAAGAAGAAAAATATATAACGGATCTGTTAGAATAGGAAATTAACTTTTTGTCATGGGATCACAGTCTCTGAAGTAGAACTACACAAATAAAACCATGTTTATTTTACCTAATAATTTATATTTTTCACTACTACACAAATTCATCCGAAACGATCGCATTTTTTATGCAAATTATACATGTTCAACTAGAACATTCTGCAATTGGAAAGCTTTAACCAATTTCTTGCTAATGAATTATCTTTTACAAGTTAGAATACTTGCTCGATATATTTAAAAAAAAAGGAAAAATGATACGTACTAACAATACTATCGTCAGTAACAAAATGAGTTGTTCGTCGACCCAATCTCATTGTTGCTAGAAAATCAAATACTTCAATATTTTTTTCTCTCATAAAATAAATAAATTTATTTACCTCCCATAATTCCTGGATTATGTTCAGGCATTTCAATAACCTATTTTATAAAAGATAAATAAAACGAAAAACAAAAACACTAAAAATAAATATGAAATATACCACTTGATGTTCACATTTATCAAATTCTGATGAATTTGCATCTTTATATTGTAAAACATGTCTTGCAAATTCAATAACAGCACATTGAAGACCAAGACAAATACCAAGAAATGGTTTTGATTGTGTACGTGCCCATTCAATAGCTGCTATTTTACCTTCAATACCACGTGAACCAAATCCACCTGGTACAAGAACACCACTAGATTAAAAAAAAAAAATTAAATCAATTTAAAATATTAAAAGTTTATTTACTGTGCACTACATAATTGTTGCCATGCTTCATGATATTTAACTGGATCATCTTTTTGTGTATTTGCTTCTAAATCAGTTGCATGAATAAACTAAATCAAATTTACAAAATATCAAAATGATAAATTACAAGACAAAAAAAAAAGAGAAACATGAATATCTTACAAGGACTTTTAATTTTCTATTACAAAAAAGTGCAGCATGAGTAAGTGCTTTAAGTACAGATGCATATGCATCTTCTAAAGCTGTATATTTTCCAACAAGAGCTATAATAACTTCATCAAGTTGTCGTTCCATTCTAGAAATGAAAAAACAAAAACAAGAATAAATTTTTATATGACAAATAGTTTTATACAAAAAAATAAGATGTTTTAACAAAATAATTATGAAACCATCAATGTCTTGAACTAACATTCCACAAATTTTATCTTCTAATATCCTTTCTATAAAAGTATAGTCAATACTGCCTTTTTAACACTATCCTCTCCTTGTAAGAAATAGAATACAAATAATGCCCTGTTAAAAGTTGTA